GGGGGATACGAGTGCATGACTGTTTCAATAGGAAGACTCTATTAGCTATTTCTTATTAAATGCTTACCTTAAATGAAATTAACGTGTCTCTTTTGAGTAGAAGAAAGTTCATAATCTTGTTTGCCATTTGCACTTTTAAGGTTACAACATTCCCACAATTGTTGACACCCAATACGAGTCAGTTTGGAGCACAAGGTGGGAGCAATTGTACTAGAAAGACGAAATTGCCAAAGAATGAGGTAAAGGGAATTAAAAATACATGAACAGCAGACTATTTTCGAGACCATTATAGCCTACTTCAAGACTACGAAGAACACGAGCTTGTTTACGAAATAATATTTTCATGTATTCAATCACCTAGTCGTAAAAAATGCTTAATTGTTTTAGGTCTTTGTGCAATCTGATGCCTTGGAAACAACTTTAAAGAAAAAAGCAAAGAATGGTGGTGCCGGTAGACGAAAGAAGAAATCGCACAAGAAGGAGCGTCACACAACGACCAAACAAGAAAATGAAGTATTATACTACCACTATTAAATGAATAGATTTTTAGAATAGCTTTAATCAATTTGATCAATAACTGATAGTAGCACACTAATTCTAGCATTCAGACTGCGTGAAATATAAACTACGACAAGGATGGGTACTGGTGATTACTATGGAACAAAAAGTTTCCGCAATCGCCGTCTCTAGTGCATTTTTCTTATTCAAACTATCACTGGGCTCTTCCCCAAGGTTATCTTTGTGCTTTCATTATAAAATAATATATAACCACTCCTATCATATTCTTGCCCTACATGTATATACCGCGCGTCATATGGTTTAAATTGGTATGTCAAGTTAAACAATCAGGAGGAGGAAGTGCTATATATTATTTGACATGATGATAATATCTGCTTTGATATTGCTTGTTATTTCATTGTATTTCATGTTCAAGGTTTTGCTGCCTTCCACAGAAGAACCATTGCCAATGCGACAGGTGTGTTTAGCTGAACATTGCAAGAAAACTAAGAAAAACGGTGGGAATAAAGGATCAAATAAGGTGAGTGTAGAGTAAAAAGTTTCACAAATTGCGTAGCGATTGTTTAGTGACAGCGACTCTAGAACTGCAGTATCTGCAGCGCAGCTAGAACGATAATTGGGGCGTAGGGTGATGTTTACTCGTATACTCAGTTCTGCCTAACGGATTTCTATTGTAAACTATTAAACTTACAAAAAAATCCGTAAAGTGTGCGTAACTGGAATTATACGTAGTACTATGTATGTTGGTTAGTTACGATTATGTTGGTTCCGTAATATTTCAGCTTAATTTAATAAAATCTCTTTTTTAATCACAGAGAAAAATTTCAAAACTACCTTTCAAACTGTCGAAAGACGACATGATCAGAGAACTCAGGGCAAAAAGCGATCGACAAAAGGTAAACGAGCGCAAAAGACTTTTTTCGGGGGGAGTACTGTGCAGTATGCCATGCGTTTTGATATGGAAAACCGGTAATGTTATCCTCTAGTGGGGATAATTGAAATAGTTTATCTGTGTGTGCGTTACGGCCGCTTACGCCGTCTATGCAAGACAACCTTAAGTGTAATGTAATGACTGTATATCTAAAAAAAATAAATTGATTATATTCTTAATCCGCAGGATGAAATTTATCAAACCGGGAAAATATTTTCTAAGAATATGGAGGAAATGAAGATGAAAGTCAAATCACTGCAGGCCGAGAATCGTTACCAGATCAGTATGAAAGAGAAGCTGCAAACAAAGACACAACACCAGTCCAGGAAGTTGAAGGAATCAAAGGTAATAAATATTCGAAAATCTGCCCTAAATGGTTGTATTATAACAAAAATTTCAAGACCATGCAATATTCAGTTTAAAAGTTAAAGTACAAAACAATGGTAACTATTAAAAATGATGACATTAATTGAGATTATCCACATTATTTTGATACCTCGAGCTCGTATATTTCCCAATCGATGATTTTTATCTAAGCACTACAAAATTTTAGGATTCTTCATGCTATTGCTCTGTTCAACAACCACACGCAGTTAACTATCGTGATTAGTTATCATCCAACACATAAGAACGGGGGTGAAAATAGCAGGATAATTCGTGGAGTGGGGTAATTATAATATATTCTGTTCTGCTCTACAGATAGTTGTGAATACCTTTATCTTCCAGGTTGAACTATTTAAAACAAGAAAGAAATTCTCGGAAGAAAGCGACAAAATGACGAGGAAAACCGAGGCAATTGAAGCTGAAAAACGATCTCTACGAAGCACGAATGACGGGCTGTTTAAGCAGAACCAACATCAAGTGGAAAAGATACGAGAATTAGAAGCAATGGATGTTCGAAGGACTAATTTCATCTTAGAGAAAATGGTATGTACATATGTGATTACGTTTTCACACCAGAGGCTCTAGGTAATTAACATGTGTCCAAATCCGGCTAATCCTGCAAAGTAGCTGAATAAAATTACGCACATTCTATGTGGTGATAGCTGTTTATAATTGCCATAAAATTCAGAGCAAAATACAAAAGGCTAAAGGGAAAATGTGATATTGGAGTCAAAAACCTATAACAAGAACGAGTAGAACTGCATTAGAACAATTTCATGAAATAGAAAATCTAAAATTACACTATAGGGACCGACAACAATAGCGCAAGTGTATACGTGTTTAAAAGATTGACAAACGAGGGCGTAATTTATAAATTCAGCCAATCAAATTGGTTCGTTTGCAGTCCGGTTTTTCCCACCAGGAACGCTCAACCGTATCGTTTTCAACTTCTCAACGGTTTTTACCGTATAAATGGAGATGTATCGTGTTAAAAAGATTTGAATTTACGATTGTGCGTTCAAATAACAGGAGTGTAAACATGAGTATGTCGTATATGTGCATAAATATGCACTCCCGTATTGAGCGGTTTCGCTACAGTCCTAAATTCCAGGGCATAATTTTATTACATAATCACCACCATTATTAATAACCAAAGAGATTTTTTATTCAAATACTTTCCGAAGAATGAGCCCTGGGCTTGGCATTACCATCTTGTACGTTATCGATGGAGAAAGGTCTTTCTTCAATTTTTGGAAAGGCCCCCAACTCGAAAAATGCATATATCATATAAGAAAGGAGGTCGTTATAATTATTTAGACTATATATACGTATAGCTACTTTATAAGGGTTATCCCATTAAGGTTATGAAATGTTTTTGCAAGCAAACTGTATAATTTTTGAATGTTTTTATTTATTACCTCATAAAAAAGGCTTGATGTACAGTATACATTCTTTTAAATATCAAGGAATATCCACTGCTGCAAAGCGACCAACAAGTGCAGGAACGGCTCAACTTCTATGAGGGTCTCATCAGCATACTATATGAAAGAATTGATTTCTTTACCAATCGTCGAGAAACGACAGAACAAAGTGAACTTTGATTACTTATTTATTATATAATATGCACAAAATATTGTTATTCTTGTTTCGCGAACCAATGCTTTACCATTGCAAATATTGTAAGCTCGCATTAGATAATATAATTAAATTTGTGTACATGTTAATAATTATAATCACTATGCATATGGCTAATGATAACTAATCAACTGCAGGGTGTATCAAAAAGAAAGTGCAAACACAATAATATCATTTTAAATAAGTAGATACCGCGAATAAGATTTCAATGCCAGTGCAACTAGTTATACTTCTGGGATTCGCTATTTTTTATTTCTCGGTATTCGAATAGCCACACAAACAAGAGTAAAATTTGACATCCTCAAGGAATGATGAATTCTGTTTTACGCACAAGTGGGATTAAATAGAGTTAAATTATGCAACTTTCATGAAATATCTGACTTCAAAAGAGTTTCCAGTTTTTTTATACACCCTGCATAAGTATATAAATTCCCTTGGGGCTGGCTGTTCAAAGCTTTGCTAGCGCTAACCCTACACTGCAGACTGTCTGCAGTTTGTTTCAAAGGCTTACAACAACGCATCATCTATTAAGTCAAAACACATTTCTAAAAAGTTTACTCAACTATACTCAACAATAAAAGAAGGATAAACAAAATGGATGGACAGATTTGTTAACCCATGCATGGTCAAGATACCCCATGTTTTCATGATTATTTTAGTTATATTTATTAGAAACCATTATAATATAATAATAAATGGTTAATTATCAGTTTATCTTCGTTATTTGTATTTATAATGTTACATTTATAGTACGCTTGCGCTAGTCGAGAAGTGTGTTTCTATAAACGTGTTTATATCCCACTTATTATTTATCGTTCTCCCAATTGCAAACTCCCACTCGTGTTTCTCCATAATATTGAAGTGGTGAGTTATCAATTTAAAAGAATGAACATTGCACTCGTCGCCCAAAGGACTTTCAATGTTCACAAATCTAAAATATAGGACCTTCAATAGCTGTGTGTCTTAAGGCCCGTCTACACTTGCAATTTTTCCTGCTATTTTATGTGCGATTTTCTTCTTTTGATAGATGTGAACGAGTAATCAGTTATACGAATGTTTTGATTAATAAGAGCTCTTATTTGAACATCAGTAACTAATTCGCTCGTTCAGATTTATCAAAAGACGAAAATCGCATATAAAATCGCAGCAAAAATTGCAAGTGTAAACGGATCTTTAAAGTAATATACTAATAGCGATATGACTTAGGTGTATGAATTAGTAACTCAAAGAAGCACCATTATAATATAATGATCAACAATGGTGATGTATTTTATGCCGCGTAATTGCATATACATGCACTGTGGAGTTAAATGCAAAATACCATGCTGCTAAATTTAAGTGAGAAAAAATCACGCGAAAATGCCATCACAACGCCCGCGAGCTTTACAACTTTCTCGTATTACAACTTGCGGATATCAAAATATCTACCGCGTGACCGTGACGTTGCAAATTTATCTTCTATTAATTTTAGAATGATGACATAATATTATTTTATTCGACTCCGTTTGTGTATTTATATCTGAGGAAACGGTATTGCGAAGGTTGTACAGCAACGTTGTACATCATTATGTCGGGGCAAAACGTAAAAAAATGCATGAACAGTCCCCCTTTTGAAAATACTTGCGACTTTTCTACGATTGCTGGGCATAACAAAATTCTACAGAGCGAAGGCATGGACGTGTGGTGTTTATCCTTGCTGTACACAAGTCATACTCTTTCAAAAACGAAAGGAATGTTCGCCGAAGAGATGCTTCACTATTACGAAGAAAATCTTAAGGGAAAGTGTCAAAAACAACAATCCCGAGAAATTATAGGGCATTGGAATTCCCTGAAGAAATCAGTGGAGAACTCGCCAGTGAGTAGATATCGATGGTAGGCTAATTATGACTTGGACAGGACTTGGTCTAATATGGCCCTGTATCATAATAGTGGAATATTCGGTTTAGTAGACAACAAAGCTTTTTAAATCCATATAGTAATATGTTTATATTTTCAATATGTTTATTTTGGTGGGTATAAATAGTAAATGATGTCTATAGTCTTATGGCTTTCGACAGGGGCTATTTACCTTTGAAAATGAATGAATAGAATAGAAACAAGTTATCAAAGAAGAAGGCCTAGCCTGCCTTCTAACTTCTCTTCGAAGCCTATTAACGTTGTACAACACGGACATGAAGTGTGATCTATATTATTATTATTATAACCGCGTATGAATTGTTAATAGGCACTATTTTGATAGCTTTAACTTCATCAATATTACACTGACTGTGATGATGGCATAATATAATACCCAGCTATCGTTGAGAATAATCTAATACCCATATATCGAAAGACAGCCCTTGCTATCCTACATTAAACTTACAATGTTTGTCGTCAATGTTGTTAGTGAAGACTGAATATTGTATATTATAATTGTATTAGCAGCCATAAGGCATAACAGTTACACGGCCATCCGTTTATACACGTTTGTTTTATTGTAAGAAAGATTGTAATAAGAATGAAACTGATATAAGTTTTCTAAACAATTCGGCAACAATTCACCAGAATTTATATGTCAAATTTATAGTCAAATGCCTAAATTTCCGGATTATATACAAACGGTGGTATTGACAATATCATGACTCGACCGAATTTTTACATCTCAAATCCGCGATAATGCTTGTCAAGACAGTGCCGTTCCCGTTTACCCTACGTTGGACACTTAGTATCCAAGTGTAAAAAACCTGATATAGTCTTAATTTGCCTTAAAGATAGCTTGAATCAGATTCAGATGCGCTGGGCGATAGGCTGGGCGATAGATGCATGTTGACGCGTTTGTAGTGAAATCGAAGTATCACTTTACACGTATTACAAAAAGAATTTACATCACAAAACATACTCTGTACAACTTACTTTGAATTAATTGATTCCGAGCCACAACAAAGACCAAGCATATGCAAGTTGTCGTGTTGAAATTCAAACCGATTCACATATCTAGAAGGGTGATCCGTAACCATTGTTTTAAGTTATGTTCATATAATAATCACACTGTTTACATTTTTCGTGGAAGTAATCTGATACAAGTTTTCTGGGAAGTTGAATTTTGAGAAAATTAGTTCCAGGAAGGAAACCGAATACTTTATTTACAATATCCATGGAGATCACGCGACATGCAAATCATGAAATCTCCATATCGGAAATGACCCAGCATTTTGAAAATAGCTAGGACAAAATTGTAAAATGACTCGGCATTTTTCGGATATTTTTTTTAGATATTATCTACTCTGCTCATTTTGTTGCATAAACTATAATATAGTGATGATAATAACCATATACGTGGCCTCTTGTCTTGTATTCCTGGAGCCGGTTGTATGAAAGCCGGATAGCGCTATTCACCGGATAGTGTTTTTTTAATCGCTTTAAAATCGCCCGTTTTTTGGCACCCAATTGCGAAGTGAATAATAACAACATAAGCGTATTCAAATGCCAGAAACGGTGTGACCGTACTTAGTTCTTGGTCGTTAGCTTCTCTAATTTCCAAATATTTTTGACAATTAGAAATCTGTGCTGGAGAAGATCCCGTTGAAGTTTTTCCTTAAACTTATGGAAGCATTTGAGGATGTAGCAAATAAAATTAAGATCATACAAATATTTTGCGAGGTTTGCCCTGGCATCGCAGAGAACAATGATGGCTTCGACAAAGAAAGTGCAACTGCAAAAATGCCAGTGGTAAGTTGACTGTGAATAAAGATTAGGTGGATAACTAAATTATATAAAGGTGTACTGTGCACATAAATCGGTTTAACATGCTCGTCAACAAAGAGCGTTCTGGTTAAACGCTGATTTACTTCTAAAACACTTAACATAAAATTATTCGATAAGAAAATTTTAGCTAAAAAGGCTCTAAACGGTTCGTTTGAAGGTAAAGGATGTAGTAAAATTAGAGGAACTCATAAACTCGCGTCCACTAGAGCTTTCTGCTCAACTAATGTCATTCATTGTTGAGAATTTTTCAACCATGACACGTAGGGCAAAAAAAACTACTCATGCGGTTTTTAATTAGACCAATACGAAAAAGGTTTCTTCATTTTGTGCGTTCGGCGAAAAAAAGTTAAAGTCAAGGCGTTAGATAATGCGGAAAGAAACACAGGTGAAGAAAGCTACCAAACGATTGGTAATCACACCTGTCAGTAACCAATGAAGGCACCATTAACCGGTGAAATAGATCTTTCGTTAGTTTTCAAGCCCGCAATGCATGACAGTAGTTGATTATTTTTGTAAGAAATCGTTCAAACAATATCAACGCATTTTTGTAAGAAATCATTTAAACAATATCAAAGCGAAAAAAGCTATTGCTTCAAGAATGTAGAAAACTAATCAGTTCCAAATTTTCCGTTAGTAGGCAAAAATTGGACCTATAAAATTTAATAATTCTATTAAGTAAGGGGCGCCATTTAAGATGCTACGCTGTCATGAACCGTCTTATGCGCGTCTTTCACTACTGCAAGCCCGGTTTCCAAGCACAAAAATTAATATGGAAAGGGTTAAAAACATTTACTCAAAAGAATTATCCATTTCATCTAAGGTGGACGAGGAAAATATTTCTTCGCCGGCAGAAGGGGCTGTTCCATCAAAAATTGAGCAAAGCGTGGATGAAGGAAGCACGGTAAGTGAGAAAATGCAGTTCTGAAATGATTATTTTGCATAAAGATCGTGAATTTGAGAACGTATTGGTTGTTGATTGCAGAACGTATCCTGCTCGTCAAATTCAAGAGTACATCAATTATTGAAGGAATCAGAGGAACGTGGATATGGAAAAGTGGATGATGAGGTATTCGTTTAGAGAAACTAAAGCAGCTTAGTTGTCAGCTACCATTACTATTTTGAGTAGAAAAAGATAATTACTTAACTTGAACAACGGTTAAAATCAGATTCTAAGTAATTTTGGCTAGTGGGCATGTATGTCAATGTGGTTAATGTCAAGATAATTAGCTATTTAGGCCTGGTTCACACTAGGTCCTGAGAATCGGGTATCTATTTTATAAGATAAAGCATTTTGCGCCTTTAGACCTCAGGCTAAGAGAATCCCAGACTCTTATAGGACAAGTTTGAATTTGAATTAGCAAACATTTCCCTCTTAGGCGTCGACATGTGCCGAAGTGTTTCTTCCCTAATTCAATCTTCGCAATGATGCATGTAATTTTAGGCGTCCACATCACGACAAGAAATATGTACGGAAACCCAAAGTACAGATGAGGTCGGTGACAAATGCTGCAAAGCAATGACAAATAACGCACATGGCGTCTGTCAGGTAACCAAACCCCATGGTAGAATGTAGTTAGTTAAATGCAAAGGTTAAGCCCCGTTTAAACTACACTATCTGTGCGCGGCCTTTGCTTTGGTAGCCTGAACACTAATAAAATTGGTACGGGTACCAACTCTAGCCGTGCCGTGCCGATGAATTGAATGCAAACGGGGCTTTAGTGTCAAAAATTATTTCTCGGTTATATTTTTCCCCGGCAATTTTTTAATTTATGAAAATCGTAAAATCTTGTCCGTGTTGTGTCTAAATGTTTATTTTTGTTTGTTCTATAGCTTTTTTATGCCACTATGTTTTTATTGAATAAATACTTCGCGTATGAACAAATCCTGTCTTTGTTTATGCGCGAAGAGTGAGGAAATTTTAGCTAAAGAGGCTCTAAACGGATGATCGAAGGTAAAGGATGTAGTGAAATTAGAGGAACTCATAAACCCCGCGCGCACTGGAGCTTTCTGCTCAACAAATGTCATTCGTTGAGAATTTTTCAACCATGACTCGTTCCGCAAAAAACTATACTCAGCATGTTTTTAATTGGACCAATACGAAAAAAGATTTCTTCATTTTCTGCGTACGGCAGAAAGAAACACAAGTGAAGGAAGATACCAAACGATTGGTAATCACAACCTGTCTGTAACCAATAAAGGAATTTGGTAAACAGTGCTAAAAATATAAGTGAACCGTCAATGGAGTGTAATCTAATAAAATAATATAGATGAATCGTGAACCCTCTAGTCACTTTGCCGACTTATTGTAAGGCTGCTCCTTTGCTTTAGTATCAACGTGCATACAAATAAGATCGTCAAACATGGCAAAAATAGGCGACAGGTTCAAGTGCAAAGTTTCCTGCTCAAAAACGATTCTACGAATGACATTTGCTAAGAAAACTCTAGTGTGCGCAGGGCTGTAAGCACATAGGAGACAACAAGACATATAGGAAACCTCTTGTGATTCGTTACCAGATATTTGCGACAAGATGAGCGTCGTATGAATACTATTAATTGGAATTCTACCCATACATAATGGCCCTCACCTTTTCATTTTGAAATTAATATAAATTATACAGTTTAAAACTAAAAAACATACAATCGTCGTTGCCCGACCTCTACTTCAAGAGAAAAGCCTCCGCAACGCTTTGGACTCTTATACTTACCTTCGTATTATTTTAAATGATACACCGCTGAACTACCTGATGATTTTTTAAAATGATTGCACGAACAATCAGATAATTATCCGAAACAAAATGTGAGCGATTTTATAAGTTAGTTGAGAAACCACAGCAATACTTTGAACAACACATTGTCAAACTTGGTGCAATGCCCTAATTATAATGTCCAAGGTAAAAGACTCGGTTAGCAAAGCGTTTCAATATACAGTTGCTTTATTGTTCTAGACGTCAGCGAACACCGCGAACGAAATCTGTGGTTGACGGTTTTACGTTCTATATTTTCACTCAATTTAATTACAAATTATAATAAAAATCGAAGGCCATTATGCATGGATAAATGAAAATTGGAATCCAAGCGACAGCCATTTTGCCGCCAATTTCTGGTAATGACTGAAGTTTGTCCTCGTTTGACGAAGTTTGTAGACAGAGAGCATGCTCCTCATTGGCCAATCTAGCCAAGGCTTAGTCTTGCAAGCTACATCACAGCGTAGACTTTTAGGAAAATTATTAGAGTTGAGTGAACGAGCAACGCTGATTCAAAACTTGTCTCAGAACTCTATGGCCACGCCAAACGTGGCTAGCGTGAATTTTGATGTTTCATACGAAAACTGTTGTTAAATCTTGTTAGCTCATTGAATAAAACCTGCGTGCATGTTAAAATGATCTCTTTTCCATAAAAAAGCAAAAAGGAATCACGCTTCTTTAATTGTTCATATCGGACAGTGAATGTTACGGTTAATCTACGTAGATGTAAGATGCATGTGCAAATGTATTGTACAAACTCGAAAATATAACCCTAAAAAATCTGCATAAAAATTCGGATATCAAACTCGGGTTGGCTAGCAAACTATGGTCTCTAGCAATCATCGTGTTTGTTTTATTTTTGCAAGGAAAGTGTTATTTTGACATTATACACAAGCTGTATAATGTCGGTTTTAGTTAAATCTCGGCTCGTTTCCAAGCGGAGATCGTCAGATGTGCATAGATATATTCATACATGTATATCAAATAGTTGCAAGCGTAGTGAATATATGTTTATGCCAGCTATGGCTAATGCATCGGAAAGGTGGAAATAGGGTCATTTTTATTGGAGCAACGAAGAAAAATAATACTTCTAACCTTTTTTCTCTACTGTAATGCCAATTAAGTTGATAATAATTATAGCTTACTTCCTAGCAGACATTTTCAATTAATATACAATAACAACCATTGTCCATTTTTTCATTGTCATTTTATAAACATAATATAAAATTTCGAGCTCCTGTGGGTTCGGAAGTGAATTTTATGTGAACTGGAAAGATACTCGGTGAAGCTAATTGAAACCCCGGTTTGACACCAGTCTCTTTCTACTATTTGTGTCTTTGCGTCAAGAAATACAACTGGTGTCCAACTCAGCGTCAAATTAGCTTCAAAGATGGCGGCTACCTTGTCCCGTCACGACCGTCAGTTATCGTTCCAGTATCTATAGAGTTCACTGGCGTTCACCAACCTAAACCACAATCCCAGAGCCCGCGATTCCTCTGGCGAGAAAACAAAGATTCTGAGATAATCGAAATCAAAAATGATTCTGATTGGTCGTTCCCGCCGTTTCAATATTGAAATACAAAAAACCGTTGCTCTCTCGCCAGTGGAATCGCGGGCTCGGGGAACAAGATTGCCTAAACCACTGATATGTAAAAGCGTACAAGACTCTGAATAGTCAAGGAAACATAGACTCGTACGCAGTTCTGCTTATTGTCCTGATTTCCCGTCCTTTAGCTCTAAGCATGCAGAATTATTTTATAAACAATGGGCTATCCAGATTGTAGATCTGAAAGGCTGTTCCATGCAAGGAATGCAGAAAGATATAGTCTTAACTAATAATCTATGTTCGTTTTATTTTCAGGCTACGAAGAAGATTGAAATGGAAAACGTTCGGTTCCTCGAAGAGATGAATGATGGTGGATGTGAAGAAAACAAGAGTTTGAGTCAGCAAGAATGTGGCATTGTGAAGGTGATGAAAATTATCCTAATTAACCTCTCAATTTAATAAGTACTGTACATTAGTAATGTTCTTGAAACAACTGTGTAGATGTTTTTCATAAAGTTACAAGAAAATGTTTCATTTAATCAGTTCATGTGCAGGGTTGTTTGTTGTGTCGGGTTATGAAAGGAAAGCTGGATATCCTTCTTAAATGTTTGGATGAAAAAAAAAACGAAAGTAAGCTTTGCTACAGAAGAATGAATGATGACCGTATGTTGGTCATCAAGGTTTGCACTGCATTTTCTCTAAAGTCACTAATGGATCGTTTGAGACGTCGAAAATTTGAGTTTATGTCTTTTATATTTCCCATTCAAAAATTAAGCGGTATAGAATGTTAATTAATGACTTAAATCTGTCCGGCCATTCAAGGTCTCCTTATAGCAGGTTTTTTAAAATTATCGATAGGAACAGTGTCGGCATTTTGTAGTAAATTTCCATTGTTTTCTCTTTATCATCCAGGACTCGATGTCTTTTGAAAACGACGCACGTGTGAACGGGGCAAGAGGTTCGCGAAAAGCGACGAAAGCGGTAAAAGAGAGCAAGGTATGTAGTTTTTTTTAAACTTTTTCATTTTTATTCAATTTCTTTTTTCTACTACTTGACGACAGTGTTATGTTTTAAGTATATTTTGCAAGACTATATAGTGATTGTAGAGGAAAAGAATAACTATATCCTTGAAATTTGCAGTGATAATCCAGTCATTTAAAGAGATATTGCATGGCACTAAATACAAAACAAGTGACGACGTCAATGAGTGCCCTTTGCTCTTATAATTCCCTGAATGTTCATGCAATTCATGCATTGCAGTTATCAGGAAGTGTTACGTTTGAAAGAAGCAATCAATAACAATGACAGTTATTTTGTGCGTGTTACATTGACTGTTTTACTGACCAGAAGAGACTTGTACTGTACTCTGGTGAAAGAGAGTGGGTCTTTAATTGTTTTTCAAGCTTTAAAATGAGATTGACACAACGGATTATAGAGAGCAACATTTCTTAAAAATAGCGAAAGGTGCTGATTTATTTATAGCCAAATTATTCGTGCACCGACCTTACAGCTTCGACTGATTTCGTAATTGGACCAAAAACTTTACGCGTTCTGTTTTATTGCAATTGAATCATGTTTTTTATTCGAACCAAGACTTATCTTCTGGTTGTATCTATTAACCTCAAATCACTCAACTCTCTTGAAGGTTTCGGCCCAGGCTGAGAACAAGCTATCTCTCATTGGAAATACGAAAAATCTTGAACTTAGGGACAGAAAGAGGGCCAAAAGCCCTCAACCAGAGAGCGAGGTAATGTATAACTAATCATTATAATGAGTAATTTCTGCTCATCATAACTTAACAAAAACTGATAGAGATTTAGGAACGAACTGAGCCTTCGTGCCAAGTCATTCTATGCTGTGAAGCTTGTTTACACCATAAGCCATGCATAAATACAATTATATTATTCATGAAAGCAAAGTTTGTAAAAAGATATATCGGATTGTAACAGCTAGTTTCAGACTCGGTTAGGACGTATCAACTCACTCAACTTCCATCTCCTTTCTTTAGCCATTCTTCTTCACATGTTTGTTACCTTTGAATAGGGCATATAAGAGATTTACGTCTGTATTCTAAAAGTTTACTCACATTAAAACTCATTGAGTGGGCGACCTTAATCCGCTCATAACATAATCTAGATCTTCCCATTTCACAACATCGCGAATTCAATTCTCACATATTTCAGTCTCATAAATATAAGATAAATTGTCTATGTGCATGCTATGAGATGAAGCCATAAACTCAAACACATGGTTGTTTCAAAGGCATCTTTGAAGTCCGCCCCGATTATGGAAACGAAATCGGATGACTTTGGTAATAAAATAGAGCCTCCTGGAACATCAGGAAACGACACCTCGTCAAAGAAGGTACGCATGATGTGGTGCTGTGTTATGTGATACTGTGATGTGAATTGCACGGGTATACGTACTGCCTGAATATACTACGAAACATGGTAGGTGAAATAGTGGTGGATGTTATCCATGCATGCATGTGATTCTTCCACGCTAACGTGCGTGATTTGATTATATGTATTATTATATTAAACAATGGCAGAAGTGTAGACTGCAGTGTAGAATGGTAGAAGCTATAGTACGGTACGAATTGTAGCTCTCTTTCTGCCTTTTCCAAGCAGAGATAATACAAACCAAAAGGAAATTCATTTACTCACAATTCAGCTATTTTACCGTGAATCGATGCTATAGCTTTATCGTTAAGAATCAAGTTTCACCATGTAAAGCGACAGCCCACTTGCGGAATTCAAAGTGAAGAAAAATTATTGACATCACAATGCATAAAAAGTATGAGCTATAATTATTTTAATTAGGTTCCGGGCTCTATTGGCAAAGAAATCTTTTCCCGTCCAAATTCAGAGAAAAAAGAAGATTTTCCTAGGAAAGACGTCAAGGAGCCTCTGAAACAAAATGCGACTGCACAGGTACTAAACATATTTTGAACTAGCTTAATATTTGCCGCAAAGATAGCTGGGAATGTAAGAGTTCAAAATAGGTATCCATAATATGAGATATATTTACACTGTATAAGCAAGTATACTGGAATTCATAGTGCTATTCAACGAAGAACAGCCACTGGAAGGGGGATACAGCTTCTTGTATTTTCGCGAATATATTGTACTCATACAATTCTTTTAAAACAATTCAACTCTCAATTTTATAGTCTTCAAAGTTTACAGAAGAAGAACCATCTTCCATAGCTAAGGAAAATACACGATCTGCAAGCAACGGAGTATTTTGCGTCTCGAAAGACGCCACAGTCAGTAAGGTAATTTAGAAAGACATTCAAAAGACGTAATGCTTTAAAACATTCTCTCTTTGGATATTATATATAGGCTCATAGAACCCTAAGAGAATACTTTTGCAACGAAGATAATACGATTTCATTTACCTATATTCCTATCCTTTATGTTATGAATGTAAATAATATTCAATATTTGCAATAGCAAATATTTGTTTGTTTAAGGTTCGCACTGGAGAAAAAGACAGTTCAATGAAAGAAATGATGATATCAAATGAACCAGTGTCAAATACAGACATGTTCAGTGAAACAAGAAAAAAATCGCAAGAACGTCAATGCAAGGAGTCTAATAAGGTAAAATGAGAACTACAAGAACTTTGATGTTACACTCATAAACCTTCTTTTTGGCGGGGTGGCAGGCTGTGCAATGATAAATTTCTCTATAGTCTAGGTACCCAGCTCAACAACTTATATTAATATTGTCAAACATCACACAGAGATCTCAGCTGACCACTGAGATATAAGTACACATTTTTAAGACAAGGCAATTAAATCATCTTCCCCACTTGGTTCCAATCCTATTGTGTGCATAATGATACTTCACGCTAATGTTGCGAATAGATTTCAGAGTGGAACCTCCTATATCTTCGACTTCGAGATGAGAACGTAGAGGAAGTTGGAAAATAAATATCGTACTTTTCTAGGTTTCATTATCCAGAGAAGAGGAGTTGACTCTCAAGGGGAAGAGGGCAGCACACGTCGATGCAAGTGAAAGAGGAATAAGACCACCAGAAGACAAAAACAATTCATGGAGTCAGGTAACCATTTTTCTGGTAAACCCACTGAACATTCTTCAATGTATCATTTCAATGCTACGTTCAGACTAAATCGGTTTGTGAAAGACACCAGCACTGCATGACGTTAAAACTGGTGTTTTCAACCATTTTTTTTTAAAGAAATTAAGAGCAATATAATAAGGGATGTTATACTAAAGAAGATCATTTACGGGGAAAAATCGATGAGAAAGGATTGTGGGGAACACGTGATGAGAAAGGATTGTGATAAAGGGGGGATTAAACGAATCTTTCAATATAATACAGCGAAATAACTCCATTAAATAAATTGAAAGCTCATCCAGTTCGAATTCATATTCGGCACACCCCATTAGACCCTTTCGAGAATTACGTCACAACATTATCGTTTTAAATTTAGAACCATCTTAAAATAAATTAGATGGATTTTAATTTTTACAGTCACTAGCTACGTGCAAAGATGTAAAACATCCTTCTTTATCAAGACATGCATGAAAAATACTTATTTTGACTAATAACTGTGAAAATAAGAAAACTAAAACGAGGCTCCAAGGCCACGACCAGGATCCTCGTTCTCGTTCATCCACAAGGTCTAGATCTGTTATCACTAATTGCACTCGAAACTAAAAGTGGAATTATTGTATCACCTAGTTCCCAGCCACAGTGGAATGTTCTCAAAACCCATGCATTTTGTGCAAGCCATTGGTAGAAAGCGAGCTTACAGAACACAAAAACAAAATTTCTCGTATTAAGGTGAGCCTAAGCGAAAATATGATGATAACAACATGAAATGTCTTAAGTAAAGGAATTTGAATACAACGTCCAAGTCCAAAATTTGCATAGTGTCATTAACGGGCGCGAATTTTTGAAGAAGATCATCCGAGAGTCTTTAAAATGGTAGCTTTACCTTTAAATTGCTTCCAAAGATTGTTTTTTAAGAGCTGTTAGTTATCACTTTAATTTTAGTACAGTGAACCACAGTTAATAGAATACACATAGACAGTGGCGTAACTAGAACGATAATTGCGGGGGGGGGGTGAATATTCATATAAAACAATTATTCATTTCTGCCCTACGGATTTCTTTTGTAATTGCAGTAGCTTACAATAGAAATCCGTCGGGCAGAACTGAATAAATGAATATTTACCCCCCCCCCCCAATAATCGTTCTAGTTACGCCCGTGCACATAGAGACTAAATAAAAGTACAATACAACTCAATAACTATGTTATTGTCCACTTTATGCAAAAAATGGTTCCTTTCTCGTCACGTGTTTATTGTATTTTAGCCAAATTTACCAATGGCATTCGTCTTGCTAAGCTCATTAACATTGACTTGAAAAATATGTTAATTATAATATTACTATTGGTTTATCCGTACAAAATACAATAGACATTTGATGAAAAAGAAACATTTTTTTGCATAAATCTACCTCAACATAGTTAATGAGTTGTATTGTAGTTTTATGTGGTCTCCAAACTATATATATTCTATTAAGTGTGAGACGACTGACTACTTTAGTGACAATAACACACTGATCTAAACTTAGAAAAAGAAAATGTCTTCCAATTTTAAACTGAGGTATTAATTGTGGAGATACCGAAACTTTCAAACTGAAAGTTTGTTACAAAATTTTCATTTTTATAATTTATAATATTTTTATAATTTATAAAATAACATGTCGAAGCAAAACTAATATGTGAAAAGCTTAGGCAGTCGCGTGGGGGAAAAGAGTTTCTCAAAATAAGCCTAAACTCAATCATTTCATTTAGTAAAATTCAACAGTAAAGGCCTCTCCTTTAGTAAAGTTAAGATGTACACTCCGTATATCTTAACTTTTTTCATACCACTAATGTTTCAACTACTATACAGGCTCAACTATACAAAACAAGGAAAAGGCACGTGCAGAAAAGCATCAAAATCAGGAAGAAATTCTTTAGACTGGAAAAAGAAAACAAGTCATTAAAGAAGAGAAACCTTGAACTGAATGAAATGAAGAACCTCCTATGTAAACAAATTTATGGCTATGTAACGATACTGCAGGATGTTGAGAAAACCGGCTACTACGACGTCACCAACCCAGGTTTATAATATAGGAGATGGTTTGTTCCTTTGCTACCACCAAGTCTTCAAAGTAAATAATGTAATTTAGGTATATTTATCCATTCCGGAATACGAGTTATTGCAACTGAGCTATATATTTTACAATTTAATGTTATATTTTTGCCATATTTAAAGACAATCAGCCAGCAAAATACTCCCGAATTTTCCCGAGTACACACATATTGTCTTAAAACGAGGCAGTTGATATGTACTAGATTGTCAGTTACACACTCCTTAAAAAAATTATATATGCAACTATTCTTAAATAAATTGAGAAAGACGTGTCGCTCTCTAAATTCCCGAATTGAAAAATACAGGGTGTCCCAAAAAAATCAAAACTATTGAAATCACTTTATGTTAAAATTTGAATGACTTGTTCGCGAATGTTTTGCTCGTGGGCACCTGAATATATGCTAAATAGGTCAACAAAAATTTAAAGGACATTTCGAAGGTCATGGTGCTTGAGTTTTCAGTAAATTTATATCCACATCTGTAAATTGTAATTATTTGTAATAAAAATCATTTGTGGGTACGGAACTTTACTCTCATCACGCATAAGAATGCTTATGTGAAACATTTATACACCTGTGGGTCCCAACAGGGTGCTTAGGCATTCAATCTCTGACTATTACTAAGTCTTTGTAATGCGACACTATGTACATACCATCAGTGGCGTAGCCAGCCCGACAATTTAGTCATGCTATGCTAATATTTTGGTGTTCATTGACTGTGAAAACAATGAATTTCTAAGGAAATGAATAATGATAACAATATAAAATTTGCATAGCATGACTAAATCGTCAGGCTGGCTACGCCACTGCATACCATACGCGTAGAGCCCAATTAATACCCTTTTTGCAATAGTTTTTACAATAGATCATTGTAATTACGCACAATATTATAATAATAAATTTGTTTCTCTTTGTAAGAATTTAATATTGTTTTTGAATATGAGGTGGCAGAAAATTAAGGTTATACATAGATCATAAATATGGTATACATAGGTCATACATAAATATGCAAAAAACGTGTCAGAAAGTTGTACACAAAAGCGTGTTTATAGGTCAAAAGGAAATTGGATAATAGTAAACTAACAAACAGAAAAAGTGTGTTTACTAAGTTTGGAGATCACCTAACGAATTTCGTAACACCTGTATTTATGATAGGTCGCATTTTTCACAAAATTCAACTGATCGAAATAATTAACTTTAAAAAACATTCGAAAAGATGACTACATGGAATGGCCCTTTTTAGCAAAAGCCCACTATTTACCACTTTATGACTTTACGCTGCCAAGCTACCTCACGCATATATGGGTAGACGAGCGCGCATTTATTAACTATATAATTATAAGTCTACTGAGATATGCTTTCCATTTGGGTTATCATTGTCAGGATGATTTTCTGAGAACATGCACGTACCATAGAACAGCGGTTTCACCCTATGCAAATGCGCGGTGCTTCATATTCGTACTTATGTAACTTTAGTGCGATCTCAACTAGAGAGAATTCTAATCAGCATAACCAAGATAACTTGAATATTGTATACGTTTATCATAATATAAACAAGTTCAGGTTTTTTGACACGCAATATCGCCATTACTTACCTGAAGACTACCAAAGAGATGATTAGGGAAGATAAAGGCATTGCGTGTATTCACTCACAGCATTTCACTTACAAATTGGCAATTCTACTATATTTTTTCCTGTATCCCGTTTGATTCTGTGCGAAATATTCCCAGAAATATTCGGCTAAACAAACGTGCAATGCAATCACGTACGCTTTTAACTTTCAAAACATGCTCCAAAGCAGTCCCTCTCCATAAATGTAAATGAATGGTACGCACAGGAATTTTAAATACCAAAAGCGAACTAATGCATAAGGGTGTTGACATAATATAATACCAGGTTGACGTAATTATCAAATATTAATGGACTGTATACATACGTATTGGATTATATCTTGTTCTTTGCTCAGTCCTCGCCCAAACACTTTTGATCACCAATCTGAGATCATGTGCACTAACGTGATAAAAGTTTCTAATTATTGACGTGGAGGATTAATTAACTAAGTTAAGGTCAGGCGGACGAAGCTTTAACGGGAAAAGTTCGTCCTAATAGTACTAGTAAACAAAAAGCATAGTCATAGTTTGTGGATTTAGCTCGGTTTGACATCGCTAATTTTGCAGTAACCACTGTCAGTAACAAGCATGGCATCATTTAAAATTCAAAATGGCGTCTTGTAATTTAAAAAGTATTTCAATTTTTAATAACTTACGATAAGTAAATCCAAAAATTCTGCAAATCTCTCATCCTCATATATTCGAATAAGTTAAGTTGTTAATACCCGAGCAATCTCTGTCGTTGCAATTGTATAAAAACTATATGAGACACATCAGGTCTCTTGTATATCCAATTTTAACTCCCTCGTAAACATCGGCAGATTTGGACAATGGACATCTAAATTGCTTGGCATCGTATTTCTTTTTGCATTATCACTTATTACGTATAATAGCTTACACAGATTTGCTCAGGATTTGCTCTACAAGGCAATGTATTGCACGTCATTGTTAAAGACACGTCAAATCAAAGTTTCGTAATGGCGAACATAATCAACATTACACATAACCACTGATCTCTTTATAGCATACTGAAACGCTGTTTAATTAAGGTAAGCTTTTTGTTGAGCTTCAAAGATGACCACGTTACCCTCTATAAAATTATAGTCTATAGTTCCCGCTAACCTCCCTCGTAATTTACAAAGCAATTCTACTCCTGAGGCATCTCAAGTTGAGAAACACAAACATTTCTTAAGATCGATTGCCTTTTCTGAGTGTTTTGAACACTCTCTACAAATTAACATCCCTCAAAATTAGGTTATGCCAAGCATTTCTTTTAGAAATTATATTTTTACGAGGGCATTGTTTCTATTTGCGACAACTCGATCGTTATTCCATTTTGTCCAAATCTGTTTTGTCTGAATACCTGGCCACGCTGCTCAGCAGAATTAATGAAACATATTATTTTTGGCTTATATTACTTACCCCTAAATTTGTCGAATGCATATAGCTATATATTTTTTTTAATCTCTAAGAACTGCACTTTCAAAGATATTTTAGCTTCCTGTTCAGCACTCCTGAGCAAAACTGTCGGCTGGATCGGTATATCGATTAATCAACTCACAGATCGAAGTACACCATAAACTTTAAATAGGTAATATTATACAGACCGAAATATTTTCCATTAGGTCTGTTGCACGTCTTTTAGAATTACTGAAATGCTTTTGGGCTTAATACTACCAATCGAGTATTATCAGCTAGTGCAGCGTGAAACAAATGACGTTTGTCAAAATCTTTCATTTAAACTTTACTTAGTTTCCTGAAAAAATGAAACAAAACGATTATTTATCATTTCTTGTGCCATATTCAGTATCGATAACTCGTCCAAATTCCATTTCGCAATGAAATCAAATAAACTCCTGCGTCGTTTTTTGAACAGATACGATTTCATTTCAAAAAAGTCATCCGAGGTCAGACAAAGATAATCCAAATCACATGATACATACATCTACGACTGCTCCAGCAATTGAGGTCACTTTGTAAATCGCTGGCAGCTTTTCTTTTGATCCAGGTTAATATCAACTTTACGAGCAGTATATCTAACTGAAGGTATTATCAGCGAATAAATTATTCCAAATTCAACAAAGGTAAGTCTATAGGCCATTTCATACCGTCACGATCTATTCACAAATGTCAAGGTTGCATTATTTTTAGGCGTGCATAAATTGTTGAAATTTTAGATCTACAAGGTTATTTTCTTTTTTATTCTCATCGGTAAAAGCATTGAAATTATGGTTAAAATTTATACCAACGAAATTTGACCTCTCAACTTTAGGTTTTTTGTGGCTTTAGTCGAATTTTTCGCTGTTCACTGCGGTGCGCATATTTCAGTTCGATGAAAAATTTTACCTTGATCCAACAAAAGGAAATTCAAACATTTTACGTCCTTTTTGAGGAGAGTTAATTGCGTCATGTAAATATTTCGTGCACCAGATCAATGATATATAAACTCGATGTGTTTGATCGGTAAAATGGCATAGTTCAATTGCAACTTAAAATCCTATTCAATGAACTGAATGTAAACTTAATATTCATGAATATCCACTTTGTTTGCTTACAATCGTAAGCTTGCTTGTTCGTAACTGGTATCATTGTCCAAACAAAATTGGGTGCGCGAGAAAGGCGATTTTGGCAGAGATCTAATATCTATAATACTATAATTATTGCTTTTAAATAGGAACAATATGAATTTTTGGGTATTAAGTTTCGCCTTTTTTATACACCCTGTATATTTCAACAGTAGCAAATTGCTTAGTCATGTTCAGATCGAGGTAATTGAACACCCAATGGAATAATTATAGGCTAAATTTAACACCGATTCGGAGATGAGTAATAATAGCGAGCTTTAGCAGTGACTACGAGTACGACTACGAGAACGAGATTCGTCATTCTTGCGCGTTGTTTGCTTACGCCATCAGTCAAAACTCGTAGTCGTTGGGCTTTTGAGTACGAGTTTTTTGGAAAATTTCGTACTCGAAAGCCCAACGACTACCAGTTTTGGCTGATAGCGTGAGCAAACAACGCGCGAGAATGACGAATCTCGTACTCGTAGTCACTGCTAAAGCTCCCTACTAACACAGACGGGCGCGCGTAATCTAGCTCCTTGAAAAAAAAAAAGTGAATTCTCTCGGGGAGCTAAAACACAGGCTGTTAAGCCCTGCCTCGCGAGGTCGTTAACTCAGCTGATAGCTCTCGTGTTCGGCGGCCTTTAGAGGTAATATTGGGCCGTCGCTAGAAACTTATGTGAGGGTGTATTCGTATATTCTTCTTATGCCTGACGTCTTTCGTTATCGTTTGTTTTTAATCTTATTTGAATATACACCCCTTTTAGATTGATAGTTTTTCGCTTGATGCCGCTTATATATTATTGATCTGAAATATTGATCCTAATGGTTCTGATGGTCTTAATTTCGAGTGGAATTAGACACACTTCAAATTATCTTTATCGCTTAGCCTTTGGATTACAACTCGTTTGTCGTATTATGTATCACCCATAAGGGCTTGTAAAAATACGAAACAGCGGGTAAAAACAAAGAGCAGATTGGACGCGATTTCGCGTAAGGACACGAATTTTCAGTTTCAGAAGGATATAAATTAAATTCTAGAACCAAAACTTGGAATGTATGGACCCCATGCAGAGCAGTAAAAATGTGTTATCGTTATGTAATCTGCAAGAATATTATAATAATTGTGTTAAAAATATATTTGCTTTTCAAAAGTAAATGTATGGGTTAAACCAAAGTTAAACGTCGCATTTTTGTCGCCTCAAATGCAAATCAAACAATAGGTAACAAGATGATAAACCACATTAACATCTTTATATCTATTGTTTGAATTACATTCGATGCGACAAAAATCCAATACAAATTATATGAATTTTTTTAAGATGTTTAAGATGTGGTTCTCGCTTATTTTGCTCGCAACAGCCGGCAATTTTCAGCTCATGTCAGGTATTTGTCCATATTCACATATACGTTCATTTTATTTTCATTTAACCTTTAAGGCAAACTCTACATAAATGCATTTCAGTATGTCAAGCAAGATTTAAATTTTGTTACAGCTGCAATAGTGGAACAAAAATTTGGCAAAGTAAACATCACTAAAAGTGCATCCGACGGTTTCTATTGTGAAACTGTTCGTTTTCCAACTCCGTTTCAAAGTGGAGGAACGATCAGAGTTTTACCTTCATTGAGTTATGAAGATAACCCTGAAAATGAAAATGAGGCATCGGTCGCGATATTAGACTCAGTTGATAAAAATTCATTTTCAATCTGTCTTATGGAGCCAGCTCAACCAACAGGAAGAATGACCCTCAATTGGTTTGCGTTCAGTGACGGTTTCTTACCACCGGGGGTCGTGACTGGAACTGTTTCTTACAACGCTTTCACGAGTGGAAGCGTTTGTACCGACATCAGTTTTGCAAAGGTAAATCCTTTACTAAACAACAGTGTTATAGGTACTATATTTGTTGACCGTGTATTTTTCGTGAAAAAAAGGAAATGTATATGATAAAAGTTGAAGGGTAAGAACAGATTAACCCTCTGCTGTTCCAGACTTTCAAGAGCACACCAAAGATTTTCCTTAGCGTCCGACGCGTTGGAAATACCGAACGAAAAGACGTGATGACCTTTTGGACAGAAGATGCGGCCGAAAAGCAATTTCGAGTTTGCTTGAGGGAAATGGTTTCCTTCTCTGGAATTCACGAGAATATGCATATTGTAAGTATGCTGTTGATATAAACAACATTTTCTTTTTTTGAGAATACTACCGCATAAGCAACAAAAGTTCTTCAAAGGCTTCGAGTACGTTATGCCAATAAAGAAAACTAAACAATTCAAATGCAAATGGCAGAACGTGCAACAATTAGACAGAGTAGGCCCATAAGGGCCTGTTCATATTACACGTTAGCTTGGCAGTACACATATTATTTCACTATAATTGCATAGTTGCATTCATATGGAATCGGGCCAGCCTGGGTCTGGCGAGATCTCGGCTGAAGGATGCGAGATCTTGCCTTTAACGGGCTAATGATATAAAAACATCAAGCTGAGCCAGCAAAAGCGAGCCAGCCCGGCTATGCCATGCAGGTTGGGCTCCCATATGAGCACTAAGGCCTGAAACAAATAACTCAAATTATAAGATCCTATATGTTTTTTACTTATACATCTTCTATATTAAACACAAGTAATTAATCCAAATTATTAACGCCTGTATTCTAAAAGCTCACTCACACTCAAACTCATTGAGTGGGATATCTTAATCTTCTCATACCGTTTTAATGGCGGTATTTTCAGCCGAACAGGGGCTTGATTTTCAGTGATTTACCTTATACCTTTCCATCTATTCAGAAAAAACTTTCTGATTGATCAGCATTAACGAAATTTATATGTCACACTCGATGAGCATGGGTGTGAGTGAGCTTTTTGAATACAGGCGTAAGTATACTTTAAGCCAGATGCTTTTATAACAAGCAAAGAAAACATAAATTTTGTTACAGGATTATGACTTACATAATTACATCTGTATTGGTTTTCAGGATTGGGTTGCGATGGAAAATACATTCAGCGGGAACATGACGGACCTTAGTTCAATAATGTTCCCTAACATTGATCAACCCTCTTCTGATGATAATTATGCATATTGTCAGGTAAATACTATTTTCCAATGTTTTAAATCAAGTTTATTCACAGCGAGTATTTTAGTATTAGTTTTCACCATTGATTTCAACATTACAGGTCCGAAATTTCTCACGCCGCTTCTATGAGCCGCCCGTAGTTCTTGTCAGCGCCCGCCGTAAACAAAACTTATTGGACACGGACCAAAATATTGTAGTGTGGATTAAGGTGACTATATTAAAGTGAGTTACCTAGAATTGAATGCAAATCAATCTTTTTCACTGGAAGTTGACAAGTTCGATCAAAAAACAACTTTTTATAAGTTTGCTTGGGTTACATCGACTATACGTTTAATCAGCACTGTATCCACGAAAGAATTTTAAAATCATAAAAAGGAAAAAGGCATGCATGTTTTTGCATCCTTTGAAATTTAACTAAAATGTTCGGTCGTGGGTATCTAATTTTTATTTTTTTTCAAAGATTTAATTGTTTTAGATTTGTAAAGCTTTTTGAAGCCATCTTTTAATCCAATGCTTTTAACATTATGTTTGACCGTTACTCGTGCAGATCGAGTGAGAAACCGGCCTCTTTAAAATGTACAAAGTATTATTAACAACTTTCAGTGTTTAGAAAAATACGCAAATTAATATTCTTTAAACACCAATCATAACAATTTCACGGGCTGGTAAATATTACATTGAAAATCTGTTCACAAAGTGAATAGTTATTTGCTATTTAATTTTCTTGTTGAACAATGCAAATTAGAAAAAAATGTTTTCTATATTTACGGTGTCCATGCTTTAGGACAAAGATAAATTTAAAACTGCGTTTCATTTCGAATTTAAATAATAGAGTGGCCTCCGCACTATAGACCCTGTTGTTTGAGAATCGCTTTAATTAGTTAATGTTATTACCGCAGGATGTTAGCGTCACAGCATTCGAGGTGTGCATAAAAGACCTCCCTGGATTAATTGGGAATCACGAACCAATAACAGTCGACTATTCCGCTGTAGGAGGTATATATATTGTAAAAATATTATTATAACTAATACGGCCATGTCAAAAAGTAGGAGTATTCCTACATTCTGCATATCCGAATAACAGCGAGGCCACGAAAAGGCTTAGTGTTAGAAAGCCTAGCCTTTTTATTTATTTATTTTATTTATTTTATACTTTTTATACTCAGTTCATTTTCGTTGCAATGACCCACATGATTTTCCTATGAGTAAATAAACCAATTCTTTATTTCCGTAGATCTTGATCCATGTCTGTACGTTACATGTAAAATGTTCGCAGTTTGTCGTGCATTTGGTCCCTACGATGCACGATGTGTCTGTGTAACAGATTGTCCTTCAGTCGAACAAAATCTCTGCGCTTCAAACGGACAAACTTTCAACAATGTTTGTTTATTCCAACTAAAAGTTTGTCAAACCAAAGCAAACTATACGATTTATCATCGCGGGAGTTGCAGAGGTAAACGCTGTTATGAAATATACATCATTCTATACATATAGCTAGTGTACGTGAAGGCCCTGTTACACGGTGCAATGTTTCTTGCAACTTGCAAAGCTATTTTACTTTCAAGAGATGTAAATAAGTTTAGGCAACTTTATACTTAATTTACATTTCTTAAAAGAAGAATTGCATTGCATACAAGTTGCAAGAAAAATTGCATCGCATGACAGTCTCTTAATTAAGTCAAGTAATACAGAAAACAATGAAACTCCGTAAAGAGTAAACTGAATTATATTTTCCAAATTGTTTTACTCTTTACGGAGTAATATATCTATATGCAGTTACCAAAATACCATAACAATAAAATGTTTTTCTTTTTTAAAACCAATGGGAATTGATTTCGCTGATAGTAATTTAAACAATAAAAAAAAGGGAAGGACATAATCACATGCATAAAAAGAAGAGCTGTATAAAAATCAACGGTTGAGGACTCGAATATTATACACTTAATGTATGCTCCCAAAAAAAATAGTGAGTTTTGTCTTCCCAAGTGTCTAAATGTTCCTGAGACGAAGTCGAGGGAAACATTGAGACTCGAGGGAAAACAAAACTCACTATTTCTCGAGGTGTAGCGAACATTAAGTGTTTTGTTATATATGAACAAAAACATACATGTTACACGACAATTTCATTTCAAAAAACTTTATTATGACAATATGCGGGCAACACTTTTTCACTTGTTTCCCTGGCGGGAAACATTGCATTTATTTAAAGCCATGTGACTACGAATGAACCAATCACATTTAAAATACACAGCACGTATATAACAATGTGATATATAGATTCAAGCGCTATAGCGAAACGCTAATTTAAAAGGATACGGTAATAAAAATTATCCTCGTCTATTTTAAAAGAACTTCATTTTCAGGATTTTTGTTAACTTTATTACTTCTGAAGTTACAGAAATAACTTTTATTGCCATATCCCATCAACTCTAAACGGTTGTCTTTGTGAAGTATAATCGTATCTCGAAAACTATTGGTCGTATCGAGCTGGGACTAAGCTTAAAATGTTCAGCGCGCGCTTCTACGTCGTTTATTCCTGTCCATAATGTATTTTTAGATTTTCCTATCACAAGAGGCCGAAGATACGTCGCTGATGTTCCTAACTGGTCTCGTTCACATTGCCAAACTGTTAAATTCGACTTGTTATCTTTCTATCCTGACAAGCCTGTTCACGTGCAGATCAGCGTGAGCCACGTGAATGACTCGGGGCAAGTTCATGAAGCCGCAGTATCGTGGGTAGAAGATGTGAGCGACACTCATTTCAAATTTTGTGTAATGGAGTCAGGAAGAAATGAAGGGCCACCTCATGGATTTGCTACTGTTGAGTATATGGCTTATCAAGGCGCTCCCAGCGGAGGGTTGGCAGGATCAATGCTGATTCCAGAGTGGTGGACTGGATCCAAGTGCCAATATGTGAACATATCATCGGTAAGCCCAGGCCGATAAAATATATTTCAAACTGAATTCATAGAGCATGCTATAGATATACCTTGAATTCCTCCCCAATTCTATACGTCGAACCTCACCACAAATAATTCATTAATAGTGAGAAATAATCTTTAGACTCAGAGATATATTTTCCTTGTCATCTCAAATGAGAATTTGAAACGGGAAAATGCTATGCGAAATGTTTAGACAAAAGGAAATTAATCAGTTCACTTTACCAAAGGGATCTTTTTCCTCAACACCAACGGTGTTGGCGACTGCAGAACATCATCGACTTAGTCTTAAACACGACGCTGCCTCACTTTGGTTGGAAGACGTCACTAGATACTCATTTAAAGTGTGCATGCGTGAATTACAAAACTTTGATGGACCTCACCAAGATATTTACGTGGTGAGTCAACTAAATACATTTTAATATATATTATGCGATAATTCAACCTCTGTCGATTCAAACACTGTTATAAATCTCGTGCAATTAGGTAAAATTATGTGCTAAGACATCAGCTCAGTATATGTTCAACATCTTGTTGATGAGTGGAGAGAGAAAGCGCATACATACAAATGCACATTGCACATTTTAGAAGTCAGCTTGAGGTATTAGCGCTGCATGAATGTGTGTATTTAGAGCATATCTTGCAAAGACAAATTAATGCAGTAATAGCGAGTTATGTATTGAACAGTGCATACATTACGTAAAGTTCCAAAATGTTTGGGTATGTAAAAGTTTGGGCTTTTATCCTTGTTCCACTGAAAAATTTATGTTTTTGAAAGTTCCAGCGCGCGGGTCATTTAGAAATTAGGACTTTAGAAATTTGAAAAATGCGCCTACTCTTGTCTATGACAATCTTATTCGCATTCAAAATGAATTATACAAAAAATATACGGCATAATATTCTATGTATATAATTAATGCCTATATTTTAAAGTAAATGAATGTTTTTTTTTTTTTAGAATTGGATTGCATTTGAAACTCTCGAACGGCCTATTTTCACAGAACAAGGTTCCAATCATTTCGTTCGGACTTCAAAGAATCCTTCGTCAAGCACCAATTATGCACAATGCAAGGTAAAATTTGTAATTATTTTTGCATAAAATGACAACGAAAATTAACTTACGAACTATTAAGTTATCAATCATCATAAATATATTCGCGGGTCATAAATCAAAAGTTTTGAGCGATGATTTTTCAGGATGTCACTTTTGCTGCCAACTATACCAAACCACCAACGGTGTTGGTTTCTCCAAAGCACAATACATCAGGAAATAATGTTGATCCAAAAAACAATGGAATCTCCACATGGATTGAGGTATCTATCCAACTTTTGGTTATAAATAGGAGCTATACTAGACAGCTATTATATTTGGTACACTAATTCGTAGTGCAGTTGCAAGTAGACAAACTGCGACTTCACTGTATCCACTAATATATGATGAGTTAATTAAGTCAGTTTTCAAAACACCTAAAAACCCCGTTTTAAAAAATACAGGAAGTCTTAATATGTTAACTGAAGATCTAGCTAGTACAAGTTAACTATAATGCGCTGGGAATACATCGGGGACGATCAATACGTGGCTGTTTACACCGAGTCTCACCAGTAAAATGCTTGCTTAATTCACATAATGTGCCAGTAAATTACCTCAGTATCCCTAAAAATTGGAAACTTTGCCAAGAAATGATCGTGTGGCAAGCACTGCAGGCCATTGTCAACCAGATGTGAATGTGCCTTGACCCAAGACCTACTTCAATCGATCTGAAATAGAATTAGCCAAGTTTAGATAGAGAGGCCGACTTTGAAGGATACTATGATCTAGTAAAACCTATAATAATATCGACTGTATGCCGCAACCAATGATGTTGGCAAAATACAACAAAAGCAGGTTTACGTGAAGTAGTTTTCGGACAACTCTCTGAGTGCACAGCAAAAGTTTATCGTATGTTTCTCTAACTCTCAAAAAATTGTTAGGTAGTCCTGTTATAAGCAACACTCGGGCAATGTGACAAAACAAATTTTCACGTACAGTTGTAACTTTGAAGATAATGTTAATATCCATTCATTGTACATTAAATAACGTAATCTACCGTATAAAGTTATGTTTTGAAAAGGAAGATTGCAACTTAATTTTTCTTGTTACATCATTATAGACTATTACAGATGCGTCATTTAGAATATGTTTTAAAGAGTTACACAGTACCAATGGTTATGATCCTGTTACAATATCCCATGTTGTCTTAGGAGGTGAGATTGACTTGAAATTAGACGTTTGCCGTTCGCAGTTTTTCGTACTAGTTAAGCTAAAGTCTTTACTATGTCAACAATAAACTCAATTTGACGGATTTTTCAACGTTTTTGTTGCCATAGCGACGGTTGCCAGGCGCAATTTTTATTAGACTTTTGCTCTAGATATGTTCTCTGAAAGTATGTCATGTAGTAAGCGACTTTAATCTTCCAGCAAAACATTTAGACGCTTAATAATTAGTGTTGGAAATGTGCATTTATCAATTTTGCGAGACTGTAGGGAGCCACTCTCCCAAAACTTTTAACGTCCCAGTATTTTTCGCAATTTTCCCCCAACAATTCACGTCTTTCATACCAGAAATCTGTGATTCGGGGTGGATATACTTCGGAGGATATTGTTATAAAATAAAAACTTCGTGTGAAACGTGGAAAAACGCCTCAACAACGTGCATGGGCTATGGTTCAACTCTGGCTAGAATTGAAAATTCGGAGCAAGACGTCTTCGTTCAAAATCTTCATTATGGAAAGCAGCCATCTTGGATCGGATTGAATGATCAAGCAAATGAAGGGATATATTTGTGGAGCGATGGCGGACCTGCCTCCTACACATACTGGGATCCACAAGTACCCACACCTCACAGCGAGACTGAGGACTGTGTTGAGATTTCAGGAAAAGATACGAAATACCACTGGCAATCATCATCATGTGACAATTGTCGAGGCTATACGTGTATGAAAGGTAAAATCTGAAATTACGGACATAGTAGCTATTTGCAATGCTTTCAATGCTTTCAGAAGCGTCGAGTTATCAGTTTGAGTTAGCAGTACAAGCATAAATTCTTCCACTGAGATGGTACAGTTTCTTTTTACATTAGATTATGATGAGTGCACCCAAAATACCCACGCTTGTGACCCAAATGCTGATTGCGAAAACACCGACGGTTCATATACATGTCAATGCCGAAGTGGTTTTACTGGCAATGGAAAAGAATGCACAGGTATATTTCACAATTCATGATCAGTTTGCAAATCCTTTAATGGACTTTTTATTGACTAAATTTTTGCTTTTCATCTCATTAACCTACGTATATAGAGCGAGATTTTTCAGCAAGATATCACTAAAAACTAGAATAGATTCAATTGACAGCCTGTGAATGGCAAAAAGTGAAATTTTAAATTTTTATGTCAAATGAGTGACGCCTTACTGAGTGATACAAATTTTTAACCCACGTGTCATATCCAACATTATGACGTCATACCAATGGCGAGGACACCAACGTCTCAAGGAGGGGAAAATTAATGTGAAATAGCACAAATGCGAGCGAACAAAGCAATAATGTCCATTATTAAAACAAATATTAAAATTGAATTTGGTTCTCAGAAAGTGCATCTGCGGTACTCTACCCTAATTAGGAAATGTGGCGGGCGAGCGAATAAGAATATTTCAATAATCCACTAGACCTCTTTAACGGTTCTAAAAAAAGTTAAAAGCATTTAAACTATAGATTCAAGCTAAAAATTATCATAAATAACCGCTAATTGAAGGTTCTACAAAAAACATGCAGGTAATTTTAAAGGGCATTCTCCGGTGGACAACACTATCAAGCTTTCGTACAACTAACTGAAGAAAAAATATGATGGTGTTAATTGGCCACATCTTTAAGTCCGCTTGCATTTTCTGTACGTTGTCACTTGCCTATTCTTTTTCTGGTATAGATGTGAACGAGTGCTCCCTAAACTTTTGTGCGCCAAGTGCCAATTGTAGCAACACAGTGGGCTCCTACACGTGTTATTGTAGGAAAGGGTATACCGGTAACGGTCGAAAATGTAGAGGTAAAGTGAGCAGATGACATGCCTTGCGCTCTGCACATTGAAAAATGCTAATTTACGTCCATAAGTAATACAAACACATAGCCATCGTTATATTGTTTCGTGGATTTAGTGTGCTGTGTGCGAGATATTTCCTCCATTTTGTTGTGTGTTTAAGGTCGGATTGGAAAGCAACAATTAAGATTAGACGCCAAAACCAAAATATTCACCTGGCCCAACTCTATATTGATACCGTACAAAGTGATGGTGCAATATAGATCTTCCTTAGATTACACATTTAAACTGTTCTAAGAAACACCGCATGATGTAGAATTTCTAAACTGTTTAAAACGTATTCTCATTAACACCTATCGTGCTATCTAACCAGCCATATAACCATACGTGCACCATATAACAAGAAATTTACGTTAATAGATGTGGACGAGTGCTCCATAAATATTGACGGTTTGCAATCTTGTGACTCAAATGCAGATTGTAGCAACACTGCTGGTTCCTATATTTGTCGATGTCGAAGTGGTTATGAAGGTGACGGGTTTTCTTGTCTGGGTACGTCAGTATTGATAAACTCAATTACTCTAAGGTGAACTACGCCACTTTTGCAATACTCATCCTTTGAAACTGATTGAGTTGCGTGCCAATTTTAGTGTCGTGCGGGAATCCTGGGTACCCACGTAATGGGTACGCAAGAGGAAGTACGTATACTGAAGGATCAACGGTGACTTTCCGTTGCGATCACAGTCATTACTATTTGTCTGGGGCATTTTCTACTACATGTCAATCTAACGGGGTATGGAGCAATCCAACTCCTAGTTGTAAGTAACAAGACTTAAATTTTTATTATTTTAATGTAGCCTCAGTTTTTTTGTATGCAAGTATTAGCATACATTTGGCTCGTTTTCCATTTCAGCCGTAAATTAGCAAAACGTGGTATACCCTGTATTTCGATTGAAGTGTGGGAAACGACCGCGTGAAATACGTCTGAATATGACCAAAAATTAGATTCAACATAATGGTGCAAGGCATAAAACCCGGCGCATATTTAATAAGCCTTGTTCACACAATCAAAAGCGAAAAATATACTCGTCACTTACCTGTCCATCCGTCATTGATTTTCCTTTACGAAATTTGTATAATGATTTCCGCAAGTCTTTCATTATAGAACAGTGTTCAAATAATCACAATGAAGCAAAATAAGACGTATTTTGGAGCAAACCGCTTCTAAATGTTAATTAAACTGTATGTCAACAAACAGTGATATTTGCCGCGCCATATTTATTGACATCTTGCGAGCTGCATGATAAGTTTAGGTCCTTATAATACCGTCTTATTACAACCGTTTTCTTGTCCAGAAGTCTAGTTCGTCAGAACACATAATCAACTCGATTTGTATCCAAAATACTCGACTGTTCTATAATTAAAATTATTTCAAATTCCAGAAGACCTATCCCTGGTTATGCTAATATTTTCATGCGAAAACAATCAATTTCTAAAGAAATGAATAATTAGGATAACTTAAAATTTGCAGTCAATTATCATAAACTATTGTCATAATTTACCGCTACGAAAAACAAGTATTAAAATAAATATTTTATTTCTTGTTATGCAATGTGACTTGATACAAGTGATATCCTGGGGCACGTTGTATAAAACACTAGTTACTCCATTCTTAACACAAATTTAGCGGTCATCTTGAGTTCGCAATATTACGTCATTCTCGCTTGCGCCCGCGTACTCATGCATCAATCGCTGACTGTATCAAATTTCTGGCTAAAATGGCATTGTGAAATGATACCATAATTTTTTTACAAATGAATAATTATTTAACTTTTCTGCTTTTTAGGTAGGTATAGGTATGGAAGATAGGACTGTGGATTGCTATTGATGTTTGGATTTTAAAACCGCTGTTTTAAAAATGAACTAAAATGCACGTAGACTAGCTAAAAGGCTAAGATAAAATTTTGGCAAAAACAATTATAAATGTGTAGTATCGACTTAATGAAAAGCCTATTACATTGTGATTTTATTTCATTTTACTGCAGTTCGCACCAATGGACGGCTTGCGCTTTAGACAAATTTTTATCGAAGTAACTAGAAGAAAATAAATCATCACAGCTAGAAAGATCTTACTTAAATTAGTGCAAATGCAAAGTTTGGCTTCGAAATGTTGTAAAATACGGAAAATATAGCCACGCGAAGTTGGCAAATTTTGTATACTTTTGTATTACGACCGGAAGTGTGTAACTAATTTAGTTACACATTTCCACACGTAATACAAAAGTATACAAAAATCAACGACTTCGCGTAGCTATATTTTCCGTATTTTACAACATTTGGCAGCCAAAATTTGCATTTGCACTAATTTAAGTAAGATCTTTCAAAAAATGTCCTTTTTATCGCCGAGGTAAGAAATTAGTCTAAAGCGCAAGTCGTCCATTGATTTGGACTTCTCAAGAGTTAGACCATATACCCAATCCATGGTCAGAAAAAAAATTGCAAAAATATCAACATTTATAGAGCTAATCAAAGGAACATGATGTAAAAAAATGACAATAAATACACCAAATTCATGTTTATCCCTTAAGAGACGTCAATTCTCTCACATAAGTATTATATACCGCATGCATTCTGGTGTAATGTACATCCGTTGCACATAAAAAATTCTCTTACCGACTTTACGCAAAGGGATGTTGAAAAGTTGTTAATTCAGGATATTTGCGATATTTCTTTAAATGGAAATATTTTCGACAACAAGGGACAAAAACAGTAATAAAAATGAACCTAAATAATCAATGTATAGAGCACCCAAGAAGTTAAATCTTCCTCTAAAAATCTTGTGAAACATGCGCCTCTCGTCCAAGATGGTGAGTTATCTGAGGAATCCAAGGCAAGTTCAAGATAACTGTTCAAGGGACAAGGGAGTTGTTGATACAGTCATGTCCTGCGATACGAGTAGCATGGTATTACGTTTTTATAGAAGTTACTATAATTACGTTTTTATAGAAGAACTATCACACTTGCATGAGCAGTTAACGAATATTTTACTGATAAAATTTTATCATTTATTATAAATTCATGAATAATTAGTCTAACTTCCAATTATTGCGCAGTATTTTGGTCACATGTTAATGTGTGATTCTCCATAAAGTTTTTTGAATATTAATTTCATACATTAACTTTGAAACAACTTAATTAACATCTTAATTAGTATTCATAACTGTGTTACACACATGCCCTATATGCATGAAGCTTAATCTATATATTCATTTCACAAATCACAAGCACCTTAAAATACTCGCGGCTGATCTGTATGGTATAAATACCCCATACATAAATACCCATAAATACCCATAATAATGTAAATGCCCATACAGATCAGCCGCAATATATTGCCAGTGAAAATTCTCGTATCTCGGGAACCACTTAGACGGAAAGAAATCCTTGCGAAATTGATCTACAAATATTGCTTGGTCGGGTCGTACTTATTATCAAAGTCCACAACCATGGAATGTTGAAACAAAGTAGATTAAAATTTGATATTTTTATCAACTCCTGTAAAATTTATAGTAATTTTTGGTCGCCATATTGAATGAATGTGCAGCATGTGCGTCGCCATTCAGCTAAACAAACGTGCCACTGCACGTACAAACACGTAAGCTTTTAACTTCTGATGCGTGCTGTAAAGCAGTCCCCCTCCCATTTCATGAAGGTATATGAATGGTAGGTACAGTATATGAATGGTACGTACAGGAATTTTAAATACCAAAAAGCGAACTAAGGGATACAGGGTGTTGACATAAATTAATACCAGGTTTGACGTAATCATCAAATATTAATGGACTGTATACATACGTATTGGATTATATCTTGTTCTTTGCTCAGTCCTCGCCCAACACTTTTGATCACCAATCTGAAATCATGTGCACTAAAGTGACAAGAGTTTCTAATTAGTGACGTAGAGGATTAACCAAGTTAAGGTCAGGCGGACGAAGCTTTAATAACGGGAAAAGTTCGTCCTATACTAGTAAACAAAAAGTATGGTCATACTTTTGTGAATTAAACTCGGTTTGACATCGCTAATTTTGCAGTAACCACTGTCAGTAACAAGCATGGCACATTTAAAATTCAAAATGGCGTCTTGTAATTTAAAAAGTAGCATCTCAATTTTCAATAACTTACAATCAGTAAATCTAAAAATTCGACAATTTCTGCAAATCCTCATATATTTCGATAGGTTATGTTGTTAATACCCGAGCAATCTATGTCGTCGCAATTGTATAAAAACTATGTGAGACACATCAGGTGTACTCTTGTATATCCAATTTTAACTCATCGTAAATATCGGCAGATTTAGACATCTAAATTGCTTGGCACCGTATTTCTTTTTGCATTATCACTTACTACGTATAATAGCTTCCATAGATTTGCTCAAGATTTGCTCTACAAGGCAATGTATTGCACGTAATTGTTAAAGACACGTCGAACCAGAATTTTGTATTGGCGAACATATTCAACATAACCACTGTTCTTTTTATAGCATACTGAAATGCTGTTTAATTAAAGGTAAGTAGTTGAGTTCCAAAGATGACTACATTGCTTGCAACTCTCTATAGTCTATCCACACCATTTCAAAGAAAACAGGTCTCGCTAAAGGCGCTGTTACACTAATTGAACCTCCGTTGTAACTTACAAAGCAATTCTACTGCTGAGACATCTCTAGTTGACATATACAAACATTTCTTACGATCGATAGCGTTTTTTGAGCGTTTTGAACACCCTCTACCAATCAACATCCCTCAAATTGGGTTATGCCAAGCATGTCTTTTAGAAACTAATTACTCCGGCGTCAGCGACGGAGTTGAAAATTCGCCCCGGTTTTGTTTTGTTTTTGTTTTTTTTTTTTTTATTTTTTTTTTTATTATTTTTCGTCGTCGCAAGTCTGTAATGGCGCGAAATATACTAGTATTTAAAACAAGTATGTGACCGTATTTATCTACGTCCCAGTCTTATCTCCCAAGACTTGTGGTGCACAGCTTTGGCTAATTTTCCAATGCGCGATTCGATTTCGCTCGCATGATACGGCAATTCCTCCAAGAGGAACAAATAAACCGTTCTTTTCATGCTGTTCGATTACGTTTAGATTGAATTGGGGTAAGAATATATTTAATACATGTAGACCCGGTCCTATTTTAATAATATCGCTGCTATTTTGCCGTTTAACAAGATGATGTGGTCGTGTATGGGCGCGTTGACACGTCGCGTAGTTTGCACAGGATCGAAGATTTAATACAACTATATAAGCGCGAATTCCAAAGGCAAAGTGTAAGACGAAGCGAATGTATCATGCGGTTTATTTACATTTTTGAACAATTGAACTTCTATACTGCGATGTTCTTCTGAATTTCGCGATCGAACATTTAGGTTCGCAAGGCATCTAAATGCGAATATGTATGCGAAACAATACGCGAACTGTATTGTTTATGTTCAGAAGCTCTATATTGAAGACTGGCACGTGCGCCGGAGTTAACGCCAGAACGGCGTCTTGTTTGTTATAAATTGTGAGGGCTTTGTTTCTCTTTGCGACAACCGTTATTCTATTTTGTCCGGAACTGTTTTGTCTGAATACCTGGCTACGCTGCTCAGCAGAATTAATGTAATATATTATTATTTTTGGCTTATATTACTTCCCCCCAAATTTTTTTGTCGATTGCATATAGCTATATATTTTTTTTTAAT